TCTCTCTCTCTCTCTGTGTAGATATATAAATGAGAAAGATAGATAGATGAGAGATAGATAGATGGATGAGAAAGATAGATATAGATAGATAGGAGCAAAAGAAAAAGAGACAGATGAGAGAGAAAGATAGAGATAGATGGATAAGAAAAAAATAAAGATAGATATAGATAGATAACAGCAAGAGAGAGATGATATGTATGTATGTATGTATGTATGTATGTATGTGTATAGAAAGATATAGATATAAATGAGAATAGATAGATGAGATAGATGAATGAGAGAGAGATAAAGATATATAGATAAGTGCGAGAGAGATATAGATGGAGAGAGAGGGGTGATACATAGATGAGAGAAAGGTAGATGAGATATAGATGAATGAGAGAGATATAACGATATATAGATAAGTGCGAGAGAGATGATGAGAGAGAGAGAGAGAGACAGACAGACAGACAGACATAGAGGTAGATAGATGGGATCTAAAAAGGGAGAGATATACAGAGAGATAGATGTGTGTGTGAGAGAGAAAAAGCTATGGGATGCTCAGTGGGGCTGGTGGGGAGGGGGAGAGAAAGGAAAGGGGAGGGGCAGTTGGGGGGGACGATTCCAGGGCTTGGGAAAAGGATGGAAGGGAACCTCTGGGACGGCCCAGCCTGGACTGTCTTCCCGGCGGGCTGTGGAGACTCCCAGAATTCCTGCCCCATTACAGCCAAGGGCAAGGCGGGCTGAGGATCCTGGGGGTTGTAGTCCCAGCGGCCGGGAAGGCGCCCACTGGAAGCGGGAGGGGGGGGAGGGGGAGGAGGCGGCTTCGAGCCCGGGGCTTGAAAGCGGGGAGGGGGCGTGGCAATGAAGCGGGGGGGGGGAGGGGGCTCAGCTCGACCGGACGGCCTAGGCGGGCAGGGGGATCGCCTGGAGGCCCACCCACCCATGACGCCTCCCCCCCCCCCTCCCCGAACTCACAACTCGCTCTTGCCGGATTTCTCCCAGTTGCGGATCCATTCGGCCGGGAGCGCCGCCGCCACGGAGGTCGCCATCATCGCCGCCGCCATCTTCTTCCCCGTGTGGCGCGGAGAAGAGCCCGGATGCGAGAACGACGACGGGCCCTGCGAGGTCAGAGGGGACGGCGGAGAACGGCCGCGCGAGGCATGCCGGGAAGGCGAGCCCCGCAGCGCGCCGGAAGAGAGAAAGAGAGAGGAAGAGGAGGCGGGGCAAGAGGAAAGCGGCGGCGGCGGCGTTAAACAGCAACCATTACCCCCCCCGCCCGCCCCTTGCCTTTCCTATCTCAGAGAGACGAAGCGAGGGAGGAAGTCAGAGAAAAGAAACGCTCCCGGTACGTGAACCACAGAATCAATCCTCCGCCGTGGAGAAGCTGCTGTCTTCGTTCGCTTCGCTGTCCGCTAAATCCGGCGCCGTGGGAAGCCGCGGTTGGTTGGTTGCACGGATGGACGGATGGATGGAACCGGGTTTAGGCAAGCCATAGATTGTGCCGAGTCGAGGGACGGTGCCTTATGGTCGTCGGGATTTTGAAGCCACCCCTCCAGGATTTGGGGGGGGGGGCGGTGTTGGTCCGTTGTATCCGTGTGGGGGGGGGGCTCTCCCTCCCTCAGAGGGATTTTTTGAGTGGTTTGGGCTTTTTTCTAACACCATTTTCTAGCGCAAATGGCTGGCTGGGGAAATGCTGGGAGTGGAAGGCTGGGGGGTTGGACTAGATGACCTCCAAGGTCCCTTCCAACTCTTCGTTAGCCTGTTAAAGAGAGAAAAAAAAAGTCCAAGCTTCCTTTGAAAGTTGGTTTGAAAGACACTGTGTGGTGTTTGAAGACATCGCTTTAAAGCGTGCAAACCCAGGTTTAATGTCGGTTCAAAATCTTCAGAGCAGAAGAAATTCTTCAGAGCAGAAGAAACCACGGTTAAAGGTTTTTTAAGCTTAACTATGGTTTGAGCATGTTGAGTGAATTGACTTTTGGGGGGCGGGACGTTTGCAAAAGACATCCGGGACAGGGTCTCTCCCCCCATTCCAACGAGCCCATCCGGACACTCCTTGGCAAAACTTGCCTAGTTGAAGGGTTCCCCTTGGGGCTTGGCAATCCAAACGAGCCGTCTATCGTGTCTATGGCTGGGGTGGGGGTGGCAGGAATTCACATCCACCCCCCAATTTTGGGGCTCCAAGGCGATCTTAGGGCGCCATCTTCCACCAAGCCTGCGGTTCCTTTTTTTTTTTTTTTTACGATTCAGAGGTTCTGCGCATTCTCAAGACAAGTGCTCGACTCGGGTTTCGGTGCGTTGGGGGGGGGGGGGGGAGGAAGCAAGAGAGGGGCCCCCTTGCGCGACCCCCTAATTCGCTTGCGGCGGGGCTCGGGGGGAGCTTCCCCGGTCCCCCCCCGCAGGGGCGCCGCGCAGCCGGGATGGGAGGCGGGGCTTTTTTTTTTTTTTTTTTTTTTTGCACGTGTGAACGCGCTCCGGGTCAAGCGGGCTCCCGCAATCCGAGTTAAAGGGGGAGTCGGGGAACTTGGGGAGCCCCTTCTCTCCCCACCCTCCACCCCCGTATTGCTGCAGCCGGCCGAGTCCTCCCTCCGTCCGGCGGGGCGCCCGATCCTCCGGCAGCTCCTCCCCGAGGCCGCGGGGAGGCGCTTCTTCCTTCTCGGGGCGGCGGTGGCGAGAAGGAACCGAGGGTCCAGCAGCCATTTTTTTCGGGCCGGCCCGAGCGCGTTGCCGGCGGAGACTGGGGGTGAGTGCGGGCGGAGGGACCCCCCGTTCTGCGCCGGGAACACCCCTCCCCATGCTCCCCGGCCGGGATCCTGCGGAGTATGGGCTTTGGAACCCCCGCTTCTCTGCGGGCGGACCACGCTTAGGCGACCTTCTGCACCGGAAACACCCGTCCCCGGGATCCTGCGGGCTGCGGAGCGTGGGCTTTGCAATCCCTCTTCTCTATGGGGCGAGGGGGCAAACCGTCCTTCTACCCCGGGAAAAGCTCCTCCCCAGTCGGGATCCTGCGGAGTATGGGCTTTGGAATGCCGCTTTTCTGCGGCCGAGGGGCGAACAGACCACCTTCTGCATCAGGAACACACACACCCCCATCCTCCCCAGCCGGGATCCTGCGGATAATGAGCTTTGCAACCCCGCTTCTCTGCAATTCCCGGGGTTTCTTTCTCCCTTTCCAAATGCGGGGTTGCTTGAGGTTTTGCCTCGGCCCCTTTCCACACACACACACACACACACCCTCGCCAGGATCTGGGACTTTCTGCATTGCAAAACCCGCGTGGGCGCGGCGGGTCGTGGGAATGCCTCCCCAGGCAGGCACACGGGTAGGGTGAGGGGTTTACAGAAGGCAGACCCCCGAAAATAGTCCAACGGAAGTCTTTTTCACCTTGCCAAGCCCAGCTAGGTCGAAAGGGAAGGGCGGAAAATCTCTTGATCCTTCTCCCTCGCGGGCGGAGTCGTGTTCCGCGTGGAAATGCAACCGCCGCGCGTGTTTCCCGCTTGCATTCCTGCGGTGGGTTTTGTTCCCGGTGCCAATTTCCTTGCCCAGCTTTTTGGGTTAAAATTGCGCAGAGAGAGAGAGAAGAGGGAATTAGAAAGAAAAAGAAGAAGAAAAGCAAAATAGGTGATTTTTGCATGCGTAACTTCTCGCATGGGAACGCTCGCCCTTTGCTCAACCTTCGAGCTTAATTCAGGGATTTATGGCTCCAGGGATCCCTGCTTGGCAGTTGGAAATGTCTTCTAGGCGGAACCCAATGGACTGGCTGAATAAAGTTTTTTCCTGGGATAAAATGAGAATTGAGGTTGGTGGGATCTGCCCATCAATTCATGCATCATTTCCTTTTTTGCCTTAGCAATTAGTAGACACCAGCATGGCAAGAAGGAAGAAGAAAATAAAACCTTTGCAATCCCCTTTCTGTAAAAATAAATAAGCGGAGGTTTTTAAAGGATTTTTTTTTTTTAAAATAGATTTGTCAAAACCTTTGCAATTCCCACCATCAGGTCGGAGCTGAAGAAGCTTCTTGGATGAGAAGCCAAACGTCTTCAAAGGAAAAAACCAGAAAGTCCAGTTGCCTCTTGAAAAAAGCATCTTTGCAATTCTCTTTCTGTAAAAAAGTAATAATAAGGGGACTTTTTAAAAGGATTTTTTTTTTAAAAAAATAGATCGGTCAAGACCTTCAAAATTCCCTTTCTGTAAAAATAAATAAGGGGAGGTTCTTAAAGGATTTTTAAAAAATTAGATTTGACCCCTGGTGTGAAAATAGAAGTATGGAAAAAAGGTTTCGAAACAAGATATCCTTTTTTTAGTCACATGTTATGGGAGTTTGCTGTGGAAAATTTTCCAATCTTTCAAACTCTTTTTTTTCATTTTTGTCAGCTGACAAGAAGGGAAAACAAAACTTGATATTCAGCCAGAACGGTCCGTAAATTGGGAAAGCTTCAGCTTTCGTTAGCCATGAAAAGAACTTTTAAACTTTCTGTTAGGCCTATTCATTTGAGGATGGAGAAGGATGCTGTTTTCAAGGTTTTTAAATAAAACAAAATTTTATTTAAAACTTTCAATACAAAAATTACCAAAATTAATTTGTAAAGCCTCCCTGAATCACCTTGTAAGAGAGCTGGGTGGTGTAGAACTTTAATAAGTAAAATGTTCGTTTTTTCACATTTTGAAACCAGCTGGGTGCTTGTACCATAAAATGTTAAAATATAAAAACAGGTTACAAAATGGAGCAGGAGGCAAGAATTCATTCAACTCTGTTAAAATTAGCTAAAAGTTGAAGGGGGGACTTTCAGGGTGCTACCAACCCTGTGGATGATGGTCCTTTGGTTGCACAGCCATGTTTGACCATCCAACATAAGTGTTGATGCCATTTTGTGATTTTGTTTTCCAATGATGTCCTAACATTGAACCTTATCTTCGCAGCAACTCTCTTTCTAATCTTACCTGTGTGATTTTTTAAAATTTATTTATTTTAGGAAATCTGGAAGAAACTCCTTCCCCGAGAGGGATATGACGTGTAATGGCCCCGTTTTGGAGGATCCGTCCCCCGACCTGGCTGAGTTGGCTTCCAGACAAGAAACCTTTGCCAATTTTCCAACTCGCTGCCCCGTTTCTTCCTCGGACCTAGCCCAGGCCGGATTCTTCTACACGGGAGAAGGGGATCAAGTCAGGTGCTTTCGCTGCCTAGCAACCCTGGAAGGATGGGAAGAGGGAGACTCGGTGGTTGGAAAGCACAAAAACATCTCTCCAAACTGCCCCTTTATCAACGAGGCCAACTTCGAAGAGGGTCGTCTGCTTTCCGGGATCCCGAACGGTCCCCCCGCAAGAGAAGCCGCCCCCTCCGTCCCACCCAATCCTGAGCTCTCTTCCGATTTCGATGCCGATTACTTGGTGAGAACCAGGCAAGTGGTGGATATCTCGGGCTCCCCGTATCCCCAAAACCCGGCCATGTGCAACGAAGAGGTCCGGCGGAGATCTTTCCACCACTGGCCTTCCTACGCGCCCGTCAGCCCGGAAGACCTGGCCAATGCGGGGCTCTATTACCGAGGCATGGGGGACGAAGTGGAGTGTTTTTGTTGTGGGGGAAAGTTGAAAAACTGGGAGCTGGGCGACCAGGCGTGGTCGGAGCACCGCCGGCATTTCCCGAGATGCTTTTTCGTCCTTGGGCATGACGTTGGGAATGTTGGGAACGTTGCCCATCCGCCAGGGGATGGACAGTTGGACCGAAGCAGTACCACCCACTGGGGGTCTCCTCCTCCTCCTCATAACCCCTCCATGGCGGATTTCGCAAAGCGCCTCCAGACCTTTGGGGCGTGGAATTACTCGGTGAGCAAGGAGAGGCTTGCTCAAGCTGGCTTTTACAGTCTAGGTAAGCAGAGGGGCCAGATTTTACGGTGGGTTTCCCTTCGTTTGGGTTCACTCAATCTCACAGCCCCCCTCTCTCCCAAATCCAAAGTACCGCCGTAGAGATTGTCCTCAGCTTGAGCCCAGGAATATCTGCTGCTAAAGCGAGATGGTTGTTAAGTGAGCTTTGCTCCCATTATGTGCCCTTTCTTGCCATTGTTGTTAAAGTGAATCGCTGCAGTTGTGAATGTCAGGATTCTGGCAGTCACCCCCATTTAAATCATGAGTCTCGAGCAAAACTTCCAAAACTTGAAGAAGATTTTATTAGGAGTAAACATGCCAGCACTGCCTGGGTGTAGCAGACTGTGAGACACATCATTCATTGTCACCCTTGACCCTGGTTTTCCCCCTACCCGCTGGGTGTATCATAATTCATATTCTCCAATGGGACATCTCCATAGCCAAGAGTCATTGATCATACTCTCCACCTAGAATTTTGCGTAGCAGAAACTTCAGTTCCTAGAAACTATCTATGAAAACATTTATGGAATGCAAGCTGCCTACTGCTCCATCCTCCCTTTCTGTTGGCAATTCTAAAAAGACCATAGAAATATTTTATGAGTTGACAGTGAAGTTGGTAGCACGGTTGTGGAGTGAATCTGGATTCCTCACTCACTTTGCTCATGGGAAGGTCGTCGAAGGAGAATACAGGGACCCCGGGACATGGCAACCATCATAACTATGAGTCGGTTGCCAAGCGCCCCAATTCTGAGTGGGTGTTTTGTCGAGGGCAGAAAGTACAAGGTAGTCCTTGAGGTACGACCACAGTTGAGCTCCATTATCATTAGTAATCATTAGTATCATTCCCTTTTGTTTGCATTTTTGTATATAATTGTATAGAACAGTGGTGGCTAACCTTTTGGGGCTCTTGTGCCAAAAATGGCGCTCGCGCTTGCTCGCTCACATGCCAGCACCCAGAAGGAAATGTGCACGCCCCCCCCACGCTCCCTGCGCATGCATGCATGATCCGCCACCTCCTTACCTGCACTGCGGATGTGCGCCTCCCAGCTGATTGTTTTGGGCCGTTTGAGGCCTTTTTTGCCCTCTCAGAGGCTCGAGGGAAGCCTCTGCAGCCTTTGGAGGCCGAAAAATGGGCCCGTTTTCATCACTTCTGATATTTACGGAAATACAGGAAGTGACAAACGGGCTTGTTTTTCGACCTCCAAAGGCTGCAGAGGGTTCCCTCGAGCCTCTGAGAGGCCGAAAAAGGCCTCAAACCGGGTGAAAAATCAGCTGGGAGGCACGCGCATGCACAGTGAGGTAAGTTTGCCTGGGGCTCGCATGCCCACACAAACAGCTCTGCGTGCCATCTGTGGCACACGTGCCATAGGTTTGCCATCAGGACAACCATACGAGCTCCATCTCGTGTTCTGCAAACAAGGATATGTGGCTCATTGCTTCTCAACAAACCAGGATTGAAAGCTGACAACTTAAGCGCAGCTTCTGGGCTTGTTAAGCAGGATAAATCCGGAAGCGTGGCTTGGAAAGTCGATGCAAGTAAACCGCACAAAATTTTGCCGTTCCCCACAGACTTAAGACACAGCAATTTTTGGAATTGTTTTCCAGCATGTGGCTCTGATCTCTCGTGGTTCAGCGTTACGTGTTCTTGATTTGTTTTAACAATAAGCTGCTGTTTCAGCAAACGTTCAGCTGTATTTTTGGACTGTGAATTGCAAGAGAATATTGTACACGGAGTGCTTGGGATAATTCATTGGAACAGGAGCCTTAAATGGTAGTGCAATTTCCCTCTTTTTTTCTTTTTTCTTCTTTAGTGCATTAATAGGTTTACACATTTCACATCTCTGCAAGACGTCTTGCATCCGAGCTGATCTTTGTTAATCTCATTTGATTTGGAACCTGCAGGGAACTAAAAATAGGACTTGTTAGAAGATTAATCAGACAATTCAGACACTTTCGGTCATGCTCCTCTTGGAATCTGATTCCGAGGGGGAGGTCGAGCAGCTGACAGGGAATGTGAGTGTGGCTCTAGTGGCTGTGGGAGAAACTGGGGAAGGGCACAATCCGGCTGGGCATTCAGAGGAAGACCCAGGCCCAACCCCTCTCCATCCTAGGGCACACAGGGAGGAACAGAGAAGGGAGCAATGTGAGTTGCATGGCTTACGGGGGAGGAAAGGGCCCTGATCCCCTTCATTAGCTGCAGCTGGGAAAACAGGATTTAAAAAGGGGGGTTGCACAAAGCACCTTGCTGGAAGTAAAGCGTGAATTATCTTCATTTTTCAAGTCTTATCTTGGGTTCTGGAGTCCTCCCAACTATATGTGTTTCATTGTCTTTTGAAGTCTACAATTCCTTATCCTGCCCTGTCTCGTTAATTGCTGCAGGATAGTTTGTGTTGGTTTTTATTTAGATAGTAATTTAGATGTACTTTGGGTTTGGACTGAATTTCTTCTCTTTAAAGACTGTTCTTGGGAGAGTTTTTTTTCTCCAGCCGATGATAACTGGACACTGGGGGCCTAGTTGGAGGCATTAAAGGGACGTTACCTACTTTTATGACTTGGTTGCTTTTGTGCCACGCCCTGAGTCATCACACATTCCAGCACTGTTTTAGATTTAGTATTTATAAGGAATGGGCAGGTAATCCTTGATTTAGGACCACCGTTGAGCCCTCCATTTCTGCTGCTAGGTGGACCATTTGTTAAATTTTGTTTTCCCCATTTTACGATGTTTCTTCCCACGGTGGTTAAGCGAATCCTTGCAGTGGAGAAGTTGCCTGCAGTACTGCGTTCTGACCACTGTGCCACCGCAGTTTAATACGTCTAAGTAGCACTTAGATTTACTGTATACACCACCCCATAATGCGTTACAGTATTCTCCGGGTTTATAACCTCAGCACATTGGCCCAGCAATCCAGGTCCTCATTTTATGGACCTCAGAAGGATAGAAAGCTTGTGCCCATCAGGATCGAACTCCAAGCTGGGGGCAGAGTTAGCCTGCAATACCACACTCTAACCACTGTGCTACCAAATAAATATATACATACGTCCGTAAGGATAGGCAATGGATTGTTGCATGTTGAGGACGACCTGTGTTTGCAGACAAAGAGTTTATGTTCATGAATGAGGTGCTTTTTCCAGGTATGGCTGACGGCGTCGAATGCTTCTGTTGCGGTGGGGGACTGAAGGAATGGAAGGCGGGTGAAGATCCGTGGGAGGAACACGCGAGATGGTATCCTGGGTAGGAATATTTCACTCTTTTCATCTTGGGGTGCGGGGTGCTTTGCAATATTTATTTTTTTACCAGATCTTTAGCTCGGGGATATCCAAAACCAGGTGCGTCAGAAACAGAAAAGCTTTGGACTCTAGAAAGAGTGCAGAGAAGAGCAACAAAGTTGATTAGGGGGCTGGAGGCTAAAAGATATAAAGAACGGTGGCTGGAATTTGGCTATGTTTAGTCTAGTCTAGTGCAGAGGTCTTCAGACTTGACAGCTTTAAGACTTGTGGACTTCAACTCCCAGAATTCCTCCTCCAGTCATGTTAGCTCAGGAATTCTGGGAGTTGAAGTCCACAAGTCTTAAACTTGCCAAGTTTGAAGACCCTTGCTCTCTTCTTTCTATTCTCTCTCTCTCCCTCCCTCCCTCCCTCCCTCCCCCTCCCTCCCTCTTTTTCTCTCTCCTATTTTTTCTATACCTCTCTTTATTCTATCTATCCTCTCTCTATTCTATCTCTGTTCTATCTCTCTCTCTATTCTACCTCTCTTTTATCTATTCCAGGGGTCTTCAAACTTGACCTTATTGGAGGCTTTTAATGGACAGCCATTGGTCTAATGTTATAGGGTTTCTGCTTGAGGAAGGGGTTGGACTAGATGATCTCCAAGGCCCTTTTCAACTCTGTTATTCTGGACAACTCTAGCAGGTGTGATCGAACCCCAGGAGCGAGTGAGTGGTGGAAAAGGGGAGGCTGCTCTAAGCAGCCAATTGTTTACATTAAATGCTGCTCATGGGGTCAGAAGGGACCTCGGAGGTCTTCTAGTCCAACCCCCAGGAGTCTTTATACCATATGCTCTTAAGGGTGCTTGTGGGGAAAAGCTTTCTCAACAGCAAGAAGATGGCTCAGGCCACCTCATCGGACTTCTTCTGAATCCAGTTGTGAAGGTACGTGCAACCGATCCAAACCTGCTTTAGGGCGCGGTGGACTGTGTGAGTTCAGATCAGGGCGGTTTGTTCCCCAGAGGACGCTTAAACTTACTGTAATGTGTGAATTAGATGACTGCTTTGTCCTTCAGCTTGGCTTATTTTGCTCCCACCTTTTGTACCTAGGTGCAAATACCTGGGAGAAGAAAAGGGACAAGCTTTTGTGAACGGCGTTCATTTAAAGTCTTTGCCACAGGAATCAACTGTAAGTCTGCCTTTTCTTGTTTGGAGTGTCTTATCTTGTTGGAAAGAGCCTTCCTTCCTTCCTTTTTCTTTTTTCTTTCTCCTTCACTTTTTCTCTTTTTCTTTCTCTTCTCTTTCTCTCTTCTTCCTCCCTCCGTGTCTTTTTCTTTCTTTCTGTCTGTCTGTCTTTCTCTTTCTTTTTTCCTCTCGCTTCCTCCCTCCCTCCTTTCCTCTCTCTCTCTCTCTTTTCTCTTTTTCTGTTTTTAATTTTTCTTTGTCTCCATCGTTCTTTCTTTCTCTTTTTCCTCTCTCTCACTCTCACTTTTTCCTTGTCACTTTTCCCTCTCTCTCTTCTTTTCTCTTTGCTTCCGCCATGTGCCTAAGCCAACTCTGCAGGGACTCTTGTTTTCGGATGAATGTGGATTTTAAATCATGCATGCATCGAGCCAATTAAATTAGTAGAAGGGCTTGAGTTACTATCCCGCGGTCTCTCCAGCTGTCTTCCCGTGAGCAGATGGCATTCCCATCCTCAGCTGAAAAGGTTAATTGCTGCCACGGAAAAGGCCACGTTTAACTGATTTGATTCCTGTTTCCTTGTTGACGGCGGCGAGTGGACTAAGCGATTAGCTCACAGAAATGAATTGACAAGTACAAACTGTGATATTTGTCGCTTGAGGATGTCAGGAGCTCTGGATGTGTGTGTGTATCTATCTGTTTAGATGACAGAGGTGGAGGAAGAGAAGAGAATGCACTAGTCCTGTTTGAAGGACTGAGAGATTTATAGGTCAGCTATAAATATTCCCCTTAAGTTTAGGAGTCTGCTTGCAAAAAGGGGCACGATAGCTCAGCCGTTAAAGGCGCTGAGCTTGTCAGCTGGAGAGCTGACAGCCCAGGTTTGAGACCCTGGCACCACACAATGGGGTGAGCTCCTGTTACTTGCTCCAGCTCCTGGCCATCTACCATGTTGTCCCCCAAAAAAAGACCAGGGCTTATATTAATTTATGCATTAGATCTTATTTTCCAGTTAGGTCTTATTTGGGGGGAAATACAGTACTAAATGCATCTGTCTGGCTGACAGTCTTAACTGGGGTTTGTTTTGGGGGTAGGGCTTATATTGGGAACATCCTGGGGGGAAAAATGCTAGGGTTTATTTTCCAGTTGAGTCTTTTTTTTTTTCTCCCGTGGAAACACAGTAGCAGTTCGAAAGCATGCTAATGCAAGTAGATAAATAGGCACCACTTCAGTGGAAAGGTAACCGGCTTCTGTGTGCCTTTGGCGTTACAGCCATGCCGGCCACATGACCATGGAAGTTGTGGCTCTTGCTTCTAAGAAATGGAGATGAGCACCACACCCTAGAATCAGGATACGACTGGACAGGGTATCCTTTATCTTTTCTGCTCGCAAAGGGGCTCCTGATGTTTGATTGGCAGGGATTTTTAGAGTTAAAAAACGCAACTCTGCTCCGGAATATTGTTGTCGGTTCACTTCCCACCGTTTCCTCTTCGCTCTTTCCCTGTTTGAATTTTATTTCTGCAACCACCTGGAGAAACACCTCTGGGTTGTTTCGGCCATGTGCTATAAGATTCCCCACCAGTTGGCTCAGTCCCTTCCTCAAACAACATCTCCCCCTCCCCTCCTAGTGGAATCTTATTATGTAAGCTAGTCGTTCTCAACCTGAGCAACTTTTAAGATGTGTGGAACTCAAGACCCAGAATGCGTCGCTTGTAAAAGTTGCTAAGTCGGTGTAAACAAACTAGAACGAACTAGAAACCACTGATTGTGACACCCTTTATCAGTTTTTTTCCCCACAAGCATTTACTGAATGAGCCAGCAGAAATTTGATTCCAGTCCAGTGCAACATTCTAAAAACTATTTATTTATTTCTTTATAGGCAGAAGAGCCCGAGAAAGTTTTAACTATTGAAGGTAGGTCTTTCCTGAACGACGCCGGTGATCAGTTCTAATAACGTGCTGTTATGAGTCAGTTGCTTAATTTGCATTTTTTAAAAATAATTGTGTTTACAAAATAATTGTGCTTTGAAAATGGAAAAAAAACAAACAATCCACATACCTGTTGGTTTCGTTTGGCAAAACTTGCAGGCTAATATTAGTGTAAATTAGGACAGTGGTATATAAGCATTGACCTGATCTTAGGATAAACATTAAATTTGCAGCCATGAAAATTAACTGTTAAGTAAAATCCTGAACCTTAGTTTAGAATATATATATTATTTGGAAGGAAACAAGAGTTCTTTTTGGATTTTACTTTAATTCAATAATAGGGAGTGATTGCCAGAAATAATAGGAAGCAATTTTATATCTTCAAGAATTCAAGTGCTTGGGCATCCAAGTATAGAAATGAATATTTATATACCGGACTATCCTGTCACTATCCATTAATTAAATGCATAATAGTGGTTGGGGATTATTATGTTCATTTTGTTATTTTTATTTCTTCTGTGTTTTTATTTCCTGTAAGCTGCTTCGAGTTGCCGTGAGCAAGTTAAGCGGCAGTATAAATTTTCCAAATAAAAGTAATAAAATCTTAAACAGAAAGAAGATGTACATTCTATTCTACTCTATTCTATTTCTTATTCCATCCTCTATTCCCTATTCTATTCCTTATTCCATATTCTATTCTATTCTATTCTATTCTATTCTATTCTATTCTATTCTATTCTATTCTATTCCTCTATTCCATCCTCTATTCTATTCTATTCCTCTATTCCTTCCTCTATTCTATTCTATTCCTTATTCTTTATTCCTTATTCTATTCCTTATTCCATATTCTATTCTATTCTATTCTATTCTATTCTATTCTATTCTATTCTATTCTATTCTATTCTATTCTATTCTATATTATATTCTACACTACTCTACTCTACTCATTTCCCTTATCGTTTCATCTACAAACCATTGACATAAATACAGGTACTCTTTGGCTTATGACCACAATTAAGCCCGACTTTTCTGTGGTTAAGTGAAACGGTTGTGAAGTGAGCTTTGCCCCGTTGTACAACCATTCTTTCCACTGTTGTTAAGTGAATCACTGCCATTGTGAAGTTGGTCACACGGTTGTTGAGTGAATCTGGCTTCCCCTCCCCCCCCTTGACTTTGTCAGAAGGTCGCCAAAGGGAATCGTGTGACCCAGGACACTGCAACCGTCATAACTACATGCCAATTGCTAAGCACCTGAATTGGGATCGCATCATGTGGAGACTGCGACTGAGTGGTGCACTGGCCTAGAGGTGGAGCTCTCGCCTCACAATCAGGAGGCTATGAGTTTGATCCTAGGTAGGAGCCAGATATTTTTCTCTCTGGGCACAATGTGAATATATCTGCTGAACAAAACCCCGCTCTGGTGACAGGAAAGTCATCCGGCCAGTAAAACACTCTGTTAGCTCCATTCAGTTGCCCAGGCTCCACCCCGGAAGGGATTATGGGGTCATAAAGTGTGAAAAACGGTCCTACGTCCCTTTTTTTTTTT